TGCCGTTTTCATCGAATATTCCTTTTCGTTCGACCTCTTTGCACTTTTTTTTGCTACGTCAGGTGTACGTGTAAGATGATGCATGCATGAACGAAGGCACGTAGTAGTTCTGGGACGGGGAATCCCCTACCTACTCAACACAGTTCCTCCATAAACCGTTCTCTCCTCTGTGATCTTAACGCCCACTAAAGATAGTTGGCTGTTTCATTAAAAGTTTTAGTCATATGAAGCTTCAAGGTTAGTTCGAAGGCAGCCCGCTAAAGACGTTTTATCTGCATGACCTCCGCTGATTTGCAGTGTTGAGGGGAAACCCCTTCATAATAAATGCGAAATCAATTTAGAGCGAACTTTCTCGTCTTATGTAAGACCATAATTCTCGTATGTTATTAGGACTGTTCATTAGGGCTAAACAAAAGCGTTTAAGTATAACGGCTGTACATCGACGGAAATTTATGCTTTCGAGATCGGAGACTCCATGATTTTCAGCATCGAGAGTACACATTTGAAGCAATACAAAACGGTAAGCGAGTAAAGGTGATCTAACCCTTCAAGTTACACTTGCTTGATCTACAATTGTTTAACTATGTTCTGGTATGCTTTCGGCTAGACTCGATTGAGTTTGTATGTTTATTTCTTGACACAGGCTAACAAACGACACAAACTCATTTATGATGACGAGCACGGCATGAAAGGTGCTATTAAGGTGAGATAATGTTTGTAGATACTTGTTAGTGAAATTACGCATCTTGCGTAGCTAGAATTATGCCGGTGTCACAGCGGATTTGGACCCCCGCGGATTTGGACCCCCCGGTCCATATCCGCTAGCGGATTTGGACCCCCCTTCGCGGATTTGGACCCCCCCCCCCCCCAACTAAACATTCCTTTTTCGTAACTTGTTCCAACTGCGAGCTTTTAGGCGATGTCCGTTAAAATTTCAACACAAGATTGCGTACTATAATTGACGAAGAAAAGGGCAGATATCGTTTCGTGGAGTCATTCTTACTTGTTCGATAGGCGAACAGAATGGACTTGAGGTGTACATCCCAGTCATCATGGTTGTCGTTAACGAACTTCACTATGGCTCTCGTCAGCGTCTGGTTCATTCTTTCATCAAGGCCATTTGACTGAGGGTGGTACGCTGAACTGATCCTGTGGTCCGTGCCACACAACTTAAACAGCTCCTCGCTAACCTTGTTAACGAATTCTCGGCCCTGGTCAGACATCACAATTTCCGCCACTCCGTATCTGGTGATCAGGTCGTACAAGAAATCCGCCACACCTAGAGGACCGATAAATATTTGCCAATTAAGGAGGCTCGAAAGAGTTTCTCGCTATTATAGTGCTTGTTAAACGATACAAGATTACAGAAAAGTGATTAAGATCAAAAAATCAAGGTAAGTCACCGAGTTAATTTTCGAAATAAAAAGAAATGTTTTCGCACGTTTCATTTCCGGTTTCTTCGATTTTTTATGGCAATTTGGATTCCAAGCTGACGCGAGCAGTAAAAGCGAGCGCGCGCGCTAAAAACCCTTTCGAGCCTCCTTAAAGCAAGTCGAGTTCAAACGGAGTTTGAATTTTGACTCGAGGCCTTGCTTCGAATTCGTTTGTAAATATATCGACTGTCGTTTCCCTAATGGTTGCGTGTCGCGTGTTTTAAGTTCTTGAGGCCCAAGCTTATTTTATGTTTTCAAAAGTAACACCTTCTTGGTAAAATTTCTCGAGATTAACAATCAATAGGTAAAGTTTGAATGAAGTCTAGGAGCAGTTTTATTTCAAGGGAATTCCCTTAAGCAATCTAACTTCAGTTAGTGAACACACGCTAAGTCAAATGCAGAACTTTTTTAAACTCGACTCTAGACAAATTGTTATTTCATTTGGCCCTTGTGAATTGCGACGTTTCAACCAGTAATGACAACCGAAAGAATAAACATAGTAAACTTGAGCTGTGCTTATTTTTTGTGTATTTGTATCGAATTCTTAATAAAATCTCACAGAAAATAGTAAAAAGAGAAAAAAAATTAATTAATAACAAACGCGAACCCTTTACATTTCTCTCACACACGCTTAATGGCAGACAAAAAAAGAAAAACGTTTACCGTTTGCGTGAGTGTTAACTCAAATAGTTTGCTTACTCTGTTAATTTCCCGCCAACTTGCACACAAATGTATAAAATTTAAAAACGCCACTGGACTTTTTCTAGTTCAGCTAAATCCCTCACATTTGTGAATACAATCTTTTGCTTAGTATCTTTACTTTGCTATTCATATATTACTCAGAATTCATTTTTACAGAAAGTTTTTTACCGCCAGATTCCCATACAAACACTGCAAATTTGACGCCCAGAATGCAGTTTCTTTAGTTTCGCGTTCAAGGCCCTTTGTTTAAAATGGCTAAGTTTAAAACTCGGGAACTCTCAAAAAAGAAGAAAAACATTACGGCTGATCGTGATCTGTGACATAAACTAAATCGCAAGGTCGCAAAAATTAAATATACACCTTTGCTCTCTTTTCTTTTTCCTTTTTCTTTTTTCGAGTTCACAAATCTCAGTTCGTTACAACTAATTTTAATATCGGATACCACATACCTTCAGCCGATTTGCTTTTGAGAGGAGCTGCCTCTGGCCACTTGCTGAAATAGCAGGTACAGGTGATCAAGTACTTATTGCCGCGGGACGTCTCGGGCAGAGGTCCTACCAGATCGATACCAATCCGATGCCACACGGTGTCCTTTACTTTAATCGGATGTAGCTGGGCAGAAGGTTTTTCGAATTTCTTTGAGGTACGCTGGCAAACATCACAACGCTTGACAGTTTCATCGCAGTCTTCTAACACTCTAGCCCAATAATACCGAGATGTAACCTGGAAGAACAACAGGAGCACAACAGTTAATAACTGACAAAGTAAATTGTCTCCACAATTTAAAAGTTCAAGACAAGTAGCATTGAATTTTGTACAAACCTTTTCTCTCGTCTTGTCACGGCCGAAGTGCCCAGCAAGTTTGTCAGAGTGACAAGCTCTCAGTATCTTCTGCTGCTCGTCTTGGCAATGAACCCATCTTTTAGGCTCACCTTTTTTCTGGCCAATGAAATAAAGCGCACCATCTTCAAGAACATATTTTAGCGCTTTCTTGCGCAAGTTTCTCTTTTGGTCTTTCGAAAAATCGATCGGATATTCGTTATCGCGGAGATAGTTAAAGACTTCGTTGTACGTTTTCGTTTCGGCCATCGTTCATGGAATGAATCATAAAAGTAATGATAACACTTGTGGAATTGAGTGCCCTTTTATACATAGCGAAGACAATAAAAGTAAAATAAAACCTTTGCAGTAGGCGGAGAAACTAAACTTTATTGTGCTGCACACAGTAACAATAACATAAATGAATAATTGCTGTAACACGTTCCACGCTTATTAACATTTCTATATATCAAGACAATGTAATTATCGTCTAAAAGCGACCTATTGTCTAGTACATGTTTATCACTTCATACCGATAATTTGTTAACATTCGACTAGACAAAAAACAATATCAATAAATAAGTTTAACTAAATGAGTTAAACCGTTTTTATATTTGCTCTATCAGTTAGTAAGTTGTGAAACATTTTATAACCGCACTGAAAATAACTTTTTTATGGTCGGTGCTTAACAGACCAAGCGCAACACTAACTATAACTTTTACGCGTTAAAGAGTATTATGAGAACGTTTGATTCAAAGTTACACACTTGCGGTACATAAAGACACGCTTTTCAAGGCTTCTGGTGAAAAGCGCTAGATTTCAAAAAGAAAAGAATCTAGACGAGAAAAAGAATAAAAAGAAAAGGAAAGAAAACAATGTAATTAGAATATAGCGGTGACTTATTGTCTATCATCTACTTTTTGTTAATTCACCCTACCAAACACTCTGTTTTTAACTTGACAAGAGCGCTAAAAAGACTTGAAGTTTAACTTAATTACTTTCATTCAAGAGGTAAGTAGCAAGTAGCACAAACGCAACGCGATGTTTATTTAACGGTGCGCCTAAAATAACATCATAACAGAATAACTTAATAAAGAAGTAAATTGTTCAACCGTATAAAATTAAAGTAGGCGGAGCAACGCATATCAGTTGAGGAAAACGAACAGCGAATTCCCGATTCTTTCGAACCTTCGTGAAAATAAAGCTTAATTCGAGAAATTGCGTTGACTAAAGGCTTTTTGTTGAAGTTGTCGGAAGTTTAGAAGTCGAGATTCGAGCAATCGGTATTTCACAAAACCAAAAAAAAAAACAATCATAATTGAAGCTTTCACGCATTCAACGGTTGTTATTATTTTATATTTCACACTTTTTCAAGAGAACTGGCAAGCAAACAAATGATTTCAAAATTTACGTTTCATTTTCATTCCAGAGGTAAACAACAGACTTACAGCTGCAGGTTAATTAAACGAAAATCTTAAATTGAGACGCAATGCTGAGAAAAAGATCACGTCTACGAGAATGTTTTAAAATAAAAACCTACTTTCTGAAAAAAAAACTTTCTTTGAAAGCCTACTTTCTAAATTTTTATTATTTCTATTAGGAAGTTATGTATGGTAATGTTTTTACTCAGTTTTGTTAAAGGGGTCCAAATCCGCGGAGGGGAGTCCATATCCGCTAGCGGATATGGACCCCGGGGGTCCAAATCCGCAAGGGGATATGGACCGGGGGGGTCCATATCCGCTAGCGGATTTGGACCGGGGGGTCCAATTCTAGGGGGGTCCAAATCCGCTGGGACACCGGCGCACACTAGAGCTATCAGCTGAGCTGAGCGTCACTCGTGGCTGTTGGCGTAAGCTGTTTCCTCAAGTGTGCGGTGTCATGTTCTGCGATTTTTGTCACGCGTGCCATGAGCTCAGAATATTCAACATGTTGAATAATTTCGTGCACGAGTGAACATTGACTCACAGTGTGCGCGCGTTTTGAGCTATCAGCTCAGGAATCAATGCGAACGCGCATGCGTCCTTGCCATGTTTTATTGAAGTCAAGATGGCGGCAAACAACTCGATAGTTGCTGATACAGTGCTGGAAGATAAATTAGCTGATTTATGGCCCGATTATCCTTGTCTTTACGACGTTCGGTGTCCAGAATTTAAGAATCGGGAGTTACGAGATAAAGCGTTTCAAGAACTGGCCGAAAAACTTGGAACAACATGTAAGATAATTCAAAATTTTATAAGTGTAAAAAATACCAATATTTGGGGCCGTTTTGACCGGACAGCAATTCAATTATTCATTCTAGGTGAGTGGGTCAAAGCTATTGATTTTTGAGCTGATAGCTCAAAACGCGCGCACACTGTGAGTCAATGTTCACTCGTGCACGAAATTATTAAACATGTTGAATATTCTGAGCTCATGGCACGCGTGACAAAAATCGCAGAACATGACACCGCACACTTGAGGAAACAGCTTACGCCAACAGCTACGAGTGACGCTCAGCTTAGCTGATAGCTCTAGTGTGCGCCGGGCTTAAAGCTGAAACAAAGAGTTTCCGGTTGGGTGGTTGATAGCTCCTTCCGGTCACAGACGGATCGGATCCAGTCTTCGGTCCTCCTGCGCGGGAAGGAGCACGGGCGCAATTCCCGAACAGCGGTTAGAAAGCGCACACGGATTAAAATGAACTGTTTTTTACGATTAAGTACAGAAATTGTAAAGAATGGTCAATTGTATTGCCTTCATTTTAATTTTTCAGAAAACAATTCAACGTCTGTTTCTTCTCTGGATGATGGCATCCGTGGTAGAAGGTCAACACTTATGTCCAATGGCTCAAAACTTTTGGAAACTGAGTACCAGCGGTGAATTCAAAGCATGTATACCGTGTCCAGAGTGTCCTGAGGGTAACGGGCTGAACATTCAATGTGGTTCATCGATCACAGATGATACTAAGATAGAATGCGTCCAATGCAAAGAAAACGTGACCTACTCCAATAGCCATGGAGTGGAAAGCTGCAAACCCTGTCAGGACTGCGGTCTACGAAATGTCCTTCAAGAATGTACCTCGGACCAAAATCGCAAATGTGGACGTAAATGTCCCAAAGGGTATTTCTTTGATGGCCACATCACTGATTGCAGAGAAACTACGCCAGCAACAGTCTCAAACAAAACTTTTTCAATACAACCTTCTCCTAGCATTTGGCCACAACTTTCATCTCCTTTAGGCGGCGGCTTGTCTACAGCAATTGTAGCGTCTATGAAAGATTTATTCTCGGTAGAAAGTGTTACCTCGACGAGTATAGCGTCGACTCCGAGCGTAAAGCCACAGCGTTCATCGCTGATGAGCGTTTTGTCTCCACTGGTACTAGGAAACCGTTCCTCTACAAGCATAGAATTCACGCAGGTTATCATGCCACAACCATCGTCATTGTATCGTGGAATCGCATCAACTGCGATTCCTGGAGGTATAGGAGTTCCAATACCTAAAGGAAACGACGCCTCTGCAAGTGTTCCGGGGAAAAAAAAGACTCAGGGACGGAAAGGCAAAGCTTTGACACTGTTGACTATATTGGGAATAATAGGATCGATAGTTTTTATCGTCATCTTTACACCGACTGCAATAGTTTGCTGGATAAAATGCAGAATTTCTGAGAAGACAAAGCCAGAACAGACAGGTAGGATTATACTAAAATAAATGAGGATAGGAAAAGCGTTAGTGAAGGGTTCTAAATAATCTAAGCGACAAGGAGCCTCGGCCTAATAGCCCTCTTGAGTGACTTGAGTGGGATCCATAATTTGCTAACTCGAAATATATATATTTTCGTAACATTTTCCTTCGCAACGCGACAGATATCATGATAATAGCCCGAGTCTTCAATAGTTAACCCACCCTGTCTTCTCTGGAATGGAAAGTTCAAGCACAGGGGACTGAATATTTAGTACGTAGTCGACTTTTTGAGGATAAAACAGATCATAGACATCATATCAAGCCAAAAAGAATGAGCAAAAAGAGATTCTATCGCTTATGGCTTGCTCACTTTTTGACCGTTTCCACTCAGTGACCTGGCACAAGGAACGCAGATCGTTTTCAAAATGATTTTTAATTTGTTGTTGCAGATCCTGCTGGAATACTACTGAACCCCTTACGAGACACTGAGAATTCACCGAGCCGCTCTTTGCTAGGTAAGATTATGATGCTGATAAATTTCCATTCGTTTACCAGGAAAAGGGCCGATTCCGTAGACCTGATCGGGGTTCTAATCCCCAAATTACTTTACAGCTACTCAGCTAGTTGGCAAACCTTGAATTTTGTGTACGTTTTCTTCACTGTTTTGAGGATGACTACTTTTTTCCTCTTTCGAACCTCTCCGTGTTCTTACAACTTCTTAAACAGTTTTTGAGAACTCTTTACCTCTCCAAAAGGGTTACACATTTGTCAGCAGGAATATTGCTTTTTTTGTGTAATTAGTATTACTGGTAGAGATGTTGATAGCCAGGCCTCGTTAAAAATGTCAGAACTCGGTCAAGGCTTGTGATTTTGAAGTGAATCGTCGGTTGAAAAAAGAAAGGGTCAGCCACCGGGCCAGACGTATAGACCTAAATGTTGTGTGTGAAAAAATGCCCCCCTTTTTATCTCTTTTTCATACTTTTTGGTACCTACTGAACGCTCAGACAAAATGACCCCTGAGGAGGTACCTGTATGAGTCACTCTAACTTTGAAGACAATCTCATTTGGGTTTTTTTTTTCCACCGTTTGATTTTCAGAAACCGTTGGCTCTTTTCAAAACAACACTGACTCTGCTGAAAGTTTAATGGCTTCTCAAGGAAGTGAGTCCTTAGATGGTGGGTGGTTCAAAATTTTCACGTGCCTATTTACTAGGTTTATTGATTTTCTTTAGCACTCAGATAAATGGAAGCCAAAACCGCACTATTGTTTCCCTGTGAAATTGCCTTCTTGAATTCTTTTAGTCTCCGTTTGACCAAAATGGTAACAGTTAAACACCCGTGAAATAGTTCTCTGAACAAAGCCCTTCATTTGGCGCAGTTCCTCATGAGCGCTGTTGCCTCTTCTCTGATATCTAATGCAATCAAAAGGTTTTATTTTTTTAAAGTTTTTAACAAGACTAGCAAAACAAAATGCCTGATATTAACCGTTAAGTTTGATGAGGGCCAAACTGAATGAACCACATACACTCTCTCCCCTATCATCATACCTTTCCATTTATGCAATAATCCCCGGCAACTGGAAAAGCCAAATTGTCAGTGAATTCAGCATAAGTAAATTCATTCAATTACAGTTCGCCGTGATGATCAAGGAGACGACAAAGATTTTGTTCTTACGAATGACATCCCCGAAGGTATGGAAATGAGTGACAAGTAATGAATCCTCGTCCTTTGAGTGTAAGATCAATGTTATTAGCAACTTAAGAAGCCTTTATTACTCCCTGTTCCCGCCTGCAGTACCCACTCGTCTTCTAGGCGTTAGCGGGCAGCTTCCACCGGGAGTGTCCTTAAATGAGCATTATTGTGATGATGATAATGATGATTACAATTGTTACTTTTTTTTCCTTTTGACTTTGTCAATTTGATTGTTCTTTTGTTATATTAGACTTCAAGCTCGCCGACTTTCCATATGATGTCGAGGATTCTATTCTGCAACTAGATTCTGATTCCTCGCCAGTTCAAAAGAACTGGAAACATGTCGCTCACAGGTTTAAAATTCCCAAACAAGACATTCAGCAAATGAAAACGGAGAGCAGGAAGCCAGGAGTAAGCGCAATAAGGCTTTTGATTGAAAAGTTGTGCAGTTTCAAATGTGCGACTCTAAAAGGGTTCGTAGACGTCCTCCAGGAGCTGGAACGCAACGATGTTGCCAACGACATTATCAGCTGGTTTAGGGAAAAACAGGACAGATGTTCAGAGGATAAGAAGGGGTAAGAATTGACAATACCCAGGAGGCTGTTGGGTGTTTCTTTAACGTCATGTTCCACGCATGGACTTTAAGAACAGTGACAGTTGGGAGTTATTGAGTCGGTCTTGTAAATAACGTAACTGATTTTGTATATTTAGTAAAATCAAAGTGATCTGAACAAAATTTTTGGAAAGTAGGGATACACGTTGTTCGAGAGATTTTGTTTTAAGATTAGACTACAGGATCGTTTTAAACAGGTGTTTTGAAGATTTAGGCAATTTTTGAATTGAAATTTATGTTAGGTGGTTCGATGAAAATTTTACATAATTTTTCTAGGTTTTTGTAACCTTTTTAAATCTTTGCTCTTAGTTGTAAGGTTGTAAATAATTTTAGGTAACGCTCTTAAGTGCAATTTAGGACGAAATGTTTTTAATGTTGTGCATGGTCAGAGTTTCTTTATTGTAGCAAAATATGCCGGTATCCTATATATCTGAATGTTTCAAATTTCAAACAGGCCGGTGGTACAGAACACGGAAGGTTGTCTGAAGTTATCTTTCCTTATGGTATTCCTTAATTTCGGTTTTCAATTTACTATGAAAGGCTGAGAAAATACTACAGCCTAATTCGCTTGGCATTGCTTGATCTCACATTAAGAAGAAAGTAAGCACTGCGTGCTGAATCTATTTTAACAAGGATATTTTCGATATTATGCATGCTCTGAGGTCATCCTGTATGTGACCCGCCGAAGTTTTAAACTTGGCTTAGTCAGATTGATTACTTTTCCATCGAGTGTCGAAGTAACTTGACTTGCTGATATTTCATTGTGCCGTCGAGAAATTCGCACCACCACATAGCCAGATGCAAAACTGAAACCAATCGCGAATTAGTAAAAGGAATTTTTCCAAGAGCACAAAGCAGCTCTCATGCGTTAATTTACAGACTTTAAGCTCTCTCACAGGTTTCTCAGTTATAACGTTTAAATTAAAGTTGTTTGATTGGCCACTGCGAGTACTTTGCTTTTGAATTCACGAC